TTCCTGCTGCTGAGGTTGCTGGGGGTATTTTACTGTCTCTGTGGTTTCTCCTTTCATCTGCTGGCGTGGTGGATGCAGATGGATGCCCCTGGGCCCGTCCTCCTGCCAGGGCATGTTCCCAAACTTCCATTTGTGCTTTCCCTGGGGAAACCTTGACCTGGCTGAAGCTGCTCCTAACCTGTCCCAGGCTGCTTCTGGGGCTCCTTCCCCTGGTGCTGAGGTGTGTTTGGGTACACGCACCTCAATGTGGGTGACTCCACCATCAGCCGTTACTTAACATCCAAATTTGCCTTCCCAGGGTGTCTCTTTGATCCTCTACATCTTGCTGTGTCTCTTCTTGCAGCTCACGTGTTTGGGGGAGCGGGTGAGACCTGGGGCTCCTCACTTACTTGATGATTGTTATTTTGCCTTCCAGCCTCCGCCTGAATGAAGCCCTGAAGGATGAGGACATCAAAAAATGCCACCGGGAAGTGGTAAGACTTGAGCTTCATGAGTGAACAGGCTGGTTCCTTGGAGCCTGACCCTGGCGATTTGCCACGGAGGAGCCTGCCCAGGGTCTCAGCTGTGGAGGTGAAGCCACAGCAGCTCCTGGTGTAGGGCAGAGGCTCCTGTCTGTGTTTCCAGGAGAGCCAATGATGGTTTCAACTGGTCTGTGATCTGCCTTGCAAACACTTTCACCATTTTCCATCCAGAGCAAAGGAGAGAGCAGAAATCTTGACTGCAGGCAGCTCAGTTCCCATCTATTTGAACCTTTTTGGTTGTTCAAATCATGCCCAAAGTAAAGCTTTTTGGTCCACCTGCAAACAGGAGATGCTTTGCAAGAGGCAGGAGCAGAGGGAGCAGGTGTTTTGCCTTTCCCCACAAAAGAAGATGGAGGAGAAAAACATTTTGCTGATGATTCAGAGGCCTCTGGGGGGTTACGGGGCTCTGCTGGGGCCGAGGAGTGTTTCTTGATGGTGGCTTGGAGGTGATGCCACAGTCCCCCCGTGTCCCCCTGAAACACCCCCACCAGCACTCCCACCACCCCAGTGTCTCTCCGGGGGGTGTCTGAGCCAAGCCCAGGTGATGCTGAGCCTTGATCCTCTTACAGCCCAGCTCATCCAGCGACAGGGTGTGTGGTGCAAAGGTGACCCTGCCACCGCGGGCAGGGCAGGGGGGCTCTGCCTTGAACCTGGGGAGCACCAGGAGCTCCGGGGCGCTGCCTCCTCCAGGGCAGGGGGCACAAACCTGCCTTCACAGGAGTAACTTACTGCAAAGCTTTGAACTGCTTTGGAGCCTTTCACTTATCCCCACAACCTGCCGAGCCTCCCGTGGCAGCCTTTGAAGAGGCACTGGGAATATAAATAGCTGGATGGTGCGGTGTGATGGGCACCGAGCAAGTGCTGTCACTGTGCCCCGGATAAGGGAAGAGCTCGAGGAGGAGGAGAGAAACCGCTGGGAAAGATAAATTGCCTGCGGATGAGCCTGGAAGAAGCCCAGCTCCTCACAGAGGCTCCACAGCCTCCGTAGACATTAAGGGGGATGTTTACCTGGGACTATGGCGCAGCGTCTGCTGGCTGCTGGATCATCTGAGCCTCCTGCAGCCCTTCGTGCCCAGCGTCCCCAGCCCGGCGGGACCCCCCTGCGCCGGTCCCAGGTGTGGGCAGAGGGAGGTTTTGTTGCAGGAGGGTGTTTTGAGGGGTCTCCTCCTCAGTGAGGGCACTGGATAACTTTGCTTCGTTTTCAGGCTGCTAGCAAGTACAACTCCCAGTACCACAAGCTGTTCAAGGACATCCCCTCGGAGGAGAGCGTGTTGAAAGGTAGGTGACACGGTGAGGGACGGGCATGGTGGTGGCAGGATCCGGCCCATTGTCTGCCATGGCCCTTTCTCTGCCTTGCAGTTTGCTCCTGCGCACTCCAGAGAGACATCCTCATCCAGGGAAGGCTTTACATCTCCCCCAACTGGCTCTGCTTCTACGCAAACCTTTTTGGGAAGGATATCAAGGTAACGTTGGGGCCAGCTCACCCTGGTCCCACAGGGCTCAGAGCTGAGGCTGCACTGCAGTTTTCCCCTCCTGCACCCAAGTAACTCCAAAATCGCCATCAAAAGCCTCTGTGCTTTTGAGAGGAGTGTGGCTGCTCCTCCTCCTCCTCCTCTTCATATCACCCCTGGCATCAGCCTGGGGAATCCAAATATTGGTTTGGTTTAGAGTTCCCTGATGTAAAACCTCCTACAAGCCGCAGCAGCGTTTGAAGGAAGATCAGAGCTTTGTGGGGGGGAGGGGAAGATTTGAGTCTCTCCTGGCTTTTCTTCTTGATTTACAGTCTGATGCTTCCCCCTTAGCCTTGTGGCTGATAGAGATCTCGGGGAGACATGATTTCCTTTAAAACTGGGCTGGAGAACTGACTTATTTACATCAGCTGCTTTAAACGGTATTTACCTGCTGGAAAACTGGGGTTCAACAAAGTCATCCTGCCATGGATTACATCCTGCTTTATTTTTAACTCTCCCTGGGCTTGTGATAGGTCTTGGGGAGACTCAGTGGGGGATGTTTTCCCCATGTTCCCGCTGTTTTGTTTGAGTAGAAACTGTCTCCGAGCTGTGATTAACGTAGGGGAATGATGAGAGCTCTAGTAAGCCCCAAGCTGCCCAAATCCCCGCACCGCCGCTCGGCTTGGGGTGTAGTTCTGATGTGTTCTGCATGTCTGCCTTGTGAAGGAACCTCCAGGAGCTTGCCCCATCCCTGTGTCTCTGTGTCCTCCAGGTGGTGATCCCGGTGGTGTCCGTGCAGCTGATAAAGAAGCACAAGACCGCTCGGCTGCTGCCCAACGGCCTGGCCATCACCACCAACGCCAGCAGGAAGGTAACACTGGAGCCTCGCCGCAGCCCTGCTCCGAGTCAGCTCTGCTTTGAGAGCAGGGAATGAAGCGATTCCAGTTGGGAATGGAGCAGTGCTCTCCATGCTGGCAGCCAGCCAGGGCAAACACCGCGGCTTTGCTTTTGTTCCTGAATTTCACTTTGTTTCTGGGCAAAGCAAAGCCCAAGTGAAACTCAGTCGAGCCTGACAAATCCCCGCCAGGCTCAAATAAAACCTTTAAGCTCCTTAAGCACAAGCAGAGGAGGGGCTGGGGCTAGTGTTCATCCCAGCTGCTGGAAAACTTGGATGAGGGGCTGAATTTCCAGCTTCTAAATCACGGTGGGTGTTGGCTGCAGTGAGCTGACATGGTCCTACCAGGTGTATCTTGAGTCCTTGCCTGTCCGGATGCTGCTGTCAGCAGCGTGTGTTGCCTGTCCCCTGCCAGGGTTATTCCTGGAGGGTTTTTGGACAGGGTGAGTCCTGCAGGATTTAAGCAGGATTTGGGTGTTCAAAGCAATCTGGTTGCAAGGCTGCTCTGCATCAGCTGAGGTAGGCGCTGCCTCGTGTCCCCTTGTGCTGATCCATGGGCAAGTTTTCCGTCACTCCCGGCCCCGTTTCCTGCTGCATCCCCCTGGACTGATCCCAGGAAGCCCCATGGGAAGACCAGCTGAGCAAGACTGGCCCCAAAAAAATCTGGTCCAGGTTTTAGGTGGCTGCAAAAATAACAGCAGGAAACTCCGCAGGGAGGTGCCTGCAGAAGGGATGCAGCTCCTGCAGCAGGGGAGATTCAAGGACAGGACGTCTCTCTCTGTTCCCTGTCTGTGGAGAACCAGACTTGGGATGGGGGAATCTCTTCTGGCAGCTTCTCTCTTTCTCTTGCAGTACATCTTCGTGTCTCTCATCTCCCGTGACAGTGTCTATGATGTCCTGAGGAGAGTCTGCACACACCTGCAGGTACCCTCCACCCTGTGTTTCGGTGGCCACAGGGCTCTGCACTGGCCTCCAGGGCTGTGTTTCAGGGAGCAGAACCTTTCAACCCCTCCCCCGCCATGGCTTCAGATGCCCCCAAAGCCCTCCCTGGTGCTCTGCTGCCTCTTCCCAGCATCCTCACCCTGCAGCAAGGGACAGGAACGGTGCCCTGGGCATGTCTTGTTTCCAGGAGCTGCCACTGGCCTTTTCTGGGTCACAGATGACAGAGGCAGAGCCCGGAGTTCCTGCTCTCTCCCAGGGTGTGTAGATGAATTATGCATAATCTGGTAGCAATACGAGTTCTGCCACTCCGCACATCGGGCCCTGTGCTCCAGATCTGGAGTTTGAAGGGGAGGAAAAATGGTACAAAGTCAAGAAAAATTTGAATTAAAAAGTCGGGGGAAGAGACATCATCAGCCCTGGAGCTGGAGAGCAGGACTGCGGGGATCTCCCTCTCCTTGCCTTTGAAGCACATGGGAAGCGGTGCTGGGGCCCTTCCCCACCTGGAAGGGTGTCTGCTGGCTGGGGGGGTTGGTGATTTGGGTGACTCAGCTCCATTGCCGAACTGGGGGATTTATCCTTTGAAATGTGCTGGGCTCTGCCTACATATTCCCCTTTCCCTCCCCACAATGCTTTATCCCCTCCGCTGGAAGCTGAGGCTCACACAGAGCTGTGGCTCCATAGGTTTTTCAGTGGTGGGAAGGGGTGATGCAGTGCCCTGTCCTCTGCTAGATGCTCTTCTTTGTCCCCAAATCCCTGTGCTCACAAGTTTTAAGCAGCTGCTCTTCACTGACTCTCCAGAAAAGTCTATGCTTGGTTTCCTGGCGCAGGTTGGAGGAGGGAGAGGCAGTACCATCATGCCTGTTCCTTTCTTCTTCCAGGTTTCGAGTAAGAAGAGCTTGAGCTTGAGGGAGCTGACAGAGGAGCCTGACGCTGTGTCACTGGTGAGGGTCAGGGCAGCTCTGGGAGAGGGAAGGAGCCCTGTGAACTCCTGCTGTGGGCAGGAGAGTGTCCCCTGGGTGGGCTTCCCAGTGCTGGTGCAGCCAGTTGCAGTGTGGAGTCATTCCCTCTCCCCTTGCTGCTGACAAAGGTCATGTGAGGATGTGGCTGTCGCCTTCATAGCACGTCCTCTGGGATCCTCATCCCCTGAAGTGGCACAAACAGATGGGTCAAGAGGATGGTTTGGACAGCCCGTGGCTGAGCACGAGCCTGTTGCTCTCAGGGGTCCATATACAGATGGAAAACCTCAGAGCAATATGGGGAAGTGCCACCACTCTGCTCCCGCCGGCTGATGCTGTTCGCAGCCGTGAACATGGATAACAGGCTGGAGATGTGGTTGAATTATTCCAAAACCTGTGGAGTGAGTGGCATGGCTCAGAGCCAGGAGGCTCTGAGGGGGGAAGAACGTGACCAAGGGAGCATGAGGGGCCTCATCCTGCTGCCTTTGGAGCACAGCAGGGTTCTGCTCTGACCACGGTGGCTTTGTCCCTGGCCAGCAGGATGTGTCCTCTCCATTAAACATGGATGGTCCGTCCCTGTCTCTGTTCCATCATGAAGCTGTTGGTGCTGTGGCTGTGCTGGGCTGTACAGGGACACTGAGCATGGTGTCCTCCATGGGCTGGTGGCTGTGTGCACCAGGCTGGGTGCAGGAGGTGACAACTGGAGTAGCCCTTGTGGGACAGGGCTGGTGGCATCCCAGCGGTTGAAGATGCTTCTGACGGGTTGAATCAGGAGCAATCCAGGCTGGCAGCATCTCCCAGTGCTTCTGAGCACTGCAGCCCTTCAGCAGCTCCAGCCCTTGGGACACATTAGCAGGGGAACTCCTTTCCATGCCAGTTACCACCCTGCTCCATTCGGTGCTTCTCTGGGATGCTGAGCCATGGGGCAGGCAAGGGGCTCTTAGAGGATGACAGGAGACCATGCTGAGCTTCTAGGGGTGGAGGAGGTGGCAACTGGTATTGGATGCTGGAGAGGGACTGTAGCAAGAGGACAAGGGATGATGGGTTTAAACTGAAACAGGGGAAGTTCAGGTTAGGTTTAAGGCAGAAGTTCTTCCCTGTGAGGGTGCTGAGGCCCTGGCACAGGGTGCCCAGAGAAGCTGTGGCTGCCCCATCCCTGGCAGTGTTCAAGGCCAGCTTGGACACAGGGGCTTGGAGCAACCTCCTCTAGTGGAAGGTGTCCCTGCCCGTGGCAGGGGTTGGAGCTGGATGAGCTTTAAGGTCCCTTCAACCCAAACCAGGCTGGAATTCTATGATTTGGGGCAGGCATGGGGTGTGTGGGCAAGTGTTTCCTATGGCAGTAGGAACCTGCACCCCCATGGGACTATTGTGGAGGACCAGCTCCACCTTAGGATGATGTTTTGGATCTTCTGGTGCTCAATGGAGGTGCTGAATATGGCCCCATTGCTTACCCGGGGCTGTTCCTGCAGGAGGTGATTGTCCCTGAGGGCAAGTGGAGGAAGGTGTCACCTGCTTCACTGTCCCTGTCGCTGCCAGACACCGACTACCAGTGCATCCACCGCACCTCCGTCAGCAGCCTGAGCGCCAAGGAGAGCTCCTTCACCTCCGAGGAGCCCCTGGTTTCAGGTGAGGGCTGTGTCCAGTGTGAGGACATGGGTTTAGCCAGACCCACACCGTGTGCTGAGTGTAAACCTCCATAAAGCCACGTTCATCCATCCCGTACTTTTGTGGAGGGAATTTCAGCCTTGTAGATGAGCAGGGTCGAGGCTGGGAGTCAGTGATGGGGTCCTGGGGATGGGATGAGGTCTGGCTCTGGGGTCTGAGCCCTCAGTATGTGCCTGTGAGGGAGGAATAGCTGAAACCTGAAGGCTCCCGGTAGTCGGAGGAGCACAAGCTCTGTGTTGTGCTGCTGACTCTGGGCTTGCATTCCAGAAAGTGCAATAAACACGGAGGAGGAGCTGGAGGTGGAGCAGGGCTGCGTGGCGGAGCTGAGACCCTCTGACTACCAGCTCCTGAAGATCTTCATCGTGCTGTGAGTGCGGAGCGGCCGTGGTGGGGGGGGATGAAGGGCACCCTGGGAGCATTCAACTCAACCGCTGAGCACTTACACTTGTTCCTCTGCCCCCAGGATCTGCCTCCTGGTCGTGTCCTCGTCATACCTGGCGTTCCGCATCTTCCGCCTGGAGCAGCAGCTCTGCTCGCTCAACCGGGACTACCTCTCCCGTGGGCACAGGAGGTGAGGGGACCTAAGGACATTTTGGTGCAGGGGGGTGACACCATGAGTGGAGAACCGAGGTGCAAAGAGCAACGGCTCCATGATGTGTCCCAGGGATTCCTTGTCCTTTGCCTGCTGTTGGGATGGCTGATGGTAGACCCTAAGGTGTCACACCCATGCTCTAAATGATCCCATCAACTGCTGGTTTGTGTGACTGGGGAAAGCTCTGCTACCCTTGAGACTTTCAGCCCTTGGGAAAAAGATTTCCTTGTGGGTTTGGGGCTGGTTTCTGGTTGTAGGAAGCACTGGGGTGCAGCTGGTCTGTGCCCTGGGTCTAACATGGCCCTGGGTCTAACATGACCATGGGCATCATCAAGGGATGGACGTAGAATCATAGGCTCACAGAATCAACCAGGCTGGAAAAAACCCTTTCAGCTCATCCAGTCCAACCATTCCCAGCACTGCCAAGGCCACCACTAACCCCTGGCACTGAGGCCTTGTCTACATGGTGTGTGAACACTTTTTAAACCACTTTCTGAGGCAGCCTGTTACAATACTTGACAACCCTTTCGGTGAAGAAACTTTTCCTAAAATTCAGTCAAAACCTCCCCTGGCGCAGCTTGAGGCCATTTCCTCTTGTCCTGTTGCTTGTCACTTGGGAGAAGAGACTGACATGAGTGGGTTCCTTGAGTTGGGGACATGAGTGTGACTCCCTTCACATGTCCATGGGGCCTGGGCACCAGGCTGGGCACGGTGCTTCCATGGCTGCTGTCTCACCCATCTCTCTGCTTGCAGGTGACTGTTGCCCCCAGCGCTGGCTGAGGACCGATGCCGGGACAGTGTGAGCCTGTGTAGAGATCCCGGTGCTGAGTCCTCCCTGCTGTGGCTGTTGCACGTGGCCCGGCTTTCCCTCAGCCGGTAACATGGGACCAAGTATCTTCTCTTTTCCTACTGGCACCTGCTCCTGGTGGGACCTCTTGGCCAGCTCACGGCCACCGGTGCCAACTCCCCATCCCATTGGAAACCTGTTTTTGCCCCGGGATGCTGCTGTGCCGTAGCACTGGACGATGGCTCAGGGCTGTCGAGTGGTTGGACCTTCCCTTAGGACTTGCTGCTAAAATGGGTGCTGGTTTTTATTCCAGCTTGGATTTTTCCTGTTAAAAGATGACTTTAGGCTCACTGGGAACCCCCAAACTTGGGGATTTGTTGCTGCTGCTGCTCTGGGTGAAGCCCGGGCAGTGGCTCTGGGCTGAACCTGCCTCTTCCTCTTCCTGTCAGTACCCCTGGGACTATGGCCAGAGGAACGGCCCCAGCCCTGGGGGTGTGCATGGACAGGTAGAAAGGGGCTGCCAGCCCTGGGGGGCAGCACCCAAGGGTGGGGGTACAACCCAGGCCCCCCAGCTCTGCTGGGCTCTGTACTGGCCCCCAGCCCTTCTCCTCTGGCACACCGGGCCATCTCGGGGTGCGTGTGTATGTCGGTGTCCCCTGCAAAGCACTTTAGGGTTCTCCAGACCAGGCACTTGGTGCCGGACCAAGGCTGCAGTAGCCCATTCCCCTCGTTCAGACATCCCAAACAGAGCCTGTGCCTGGCACTGGGGAAGGTCCTGGATCACAGCGTGGCTGCACCCTCATGGAGCCGAGTCCCGCAGGGTTTGCCCCACTGGCTCCCCCGGGAGCATGCTGGGGCAGCAGGCTATTCCTGTGATTCCTTTCGGTTTTCTTTCCTATTTTTTGGGAACTACAAGTGCTGATGGGGCCAAATCCCCGCGCCCGGGGCAGCGCTCACTGCTCTTCTGGGCCCAGAACGGCTTTTAACTGAAATAAACCCAGGATTTTCTAGCACATCGCTGTGAGCTGCAAAGCTGGGCTGTGAGCCCGAAACAGGGTACCCCAGAATCAGTGCTGTCCTGGTGCTCCTTCACTGGCTGTGTCCTCAGGACGTGGGTTACATGGGGACAGCCCTGTCCTCGTGTGGGTTTGGGGACGGGTGCCATCGCCTCGTCCTCCCTTTGGGCCAGTGCTGGTTGTACCTGGGGCTGTTCAGCCCCGATGTCGCACACTGGATGGATGCTGGTGGGTGCTTAGCAGCGTTTTGCCACCCTGTGTGTCACCCTGGCCATGCTGAGGAGGGGGGAATCAGGCTGGGGGTGCAGCCCTGGCTGGGGCAGGAGAATCAGGGTGGCTTTTGGGGGACACCCAGAGCCAGAGAAGCTCCGAGTGCAGGGGACAGGGAAGTCTCTTCACTAGGTGGCAGCAGAGACTGTGGGATGTGGCACTCGGGCTGGTTGGCAGAGGCCATCCCGGGGATGGGGGTGCATGCGGAGGGTGCTGAGCTGCAGCCTCATCCTGCTGCAGTGGACAGGGTGAGCCTTGCTCCTCCTCCCTGAGCATCTGCAACCCGAATTCCCCCTCCCACCAAGCCTGGACCGTAGAACAAAATGCCTGAAAACGGGTGAAATGCAAGAAACCAGCACAACTTGGAAAGCCCCAGCGGAGGTGGTGGGAGCCAAGTGGGGAAGGGGACGGCATCACCCCATTTTTTCGGGAGGATTTAGCACCCTGGGATGCTGGGGCTTGGCCACGTTTCTGGCCAAAGCTGCTGCTCCAAAGCCCCGGTGTTATGGGGCTGTTGGAGCCTTTGAGTTTATGGGTGACCAGTGGATGCAAGGTGCCATCCCACTGCTGCTCCATCCCCAGCGGGCACTCACCCACTTCAAATGGGTTTAGAGTTACTTTTTCTAAACCCAAGTTGGTGCTCAACGGGTTCAACCTTAAAGTGGGGTTTATGCCCCCAAAAACGAGGTTTAGAGGTTTAGGATTGGGGCTTTCTGGGGCTTGTGTGCCCCGTGTGGTGAGTTTTAAGTGCTCTGGGGCACCCAGTACAAACCAGGTGCATGGGGGTCCCTTGTCCTGGGCCAAGACCAGGCCCTCTGTGTGAGGGTAGCGACAGACACCTCGGCTCCTCTGGGGTTCTGTGGTTACCCCAGGGGTGGGACAACCTGTGGGCGCAGTTGGCTGATGTGGAGGAGGTTTGGAAGAGCCCCTGCTGTGGTTTGGGGGGTTCCTGCTGCCAGGAGCTGGCTGCAAGGCCCTGGTGCTGTTCTCCAGCCGGTGTCTGGTGTTTGCCTGCCTGCTCGCTGTGCGTTGGTGCTCCTGGTGACACCCTGCTTGAGTGTATTTGCTTTTCTTTGTGTAAAGAAATGCCATGTGAAAGCCTCGGGTGCAGGAAATGTCCTGGGGCACTCCCGATGCTGGCTCCTGCCCCATCCCTTGGGGACAAGGAACAAGGGGTGCCCCTGCCCTCAAGTCCCCATGATACTCCCCATTGCACCCACTGTCCTGCCTTCCTCCTTCCCCCCTCTTCCTGGGCTCCTCCCCAGCCCAAATCAACCCCTAAAGACAGTTATCAAATAGGCCTGTGTGGCTGCCTCACTGCCACATGAGGTGCTGGTGGAGTTGCCCCTGGGCTTGCTGGCTCTCTGAGGCTGATTTCTGTTCAGTTTCATCCACTGCAGGGCACAGAGTGGCCAAGAGGCCGTGGCACAAGAAGAAATCAGCAGGTACCTACACAAAGACAGGGTGATACAAGTGCTCAGTTTGGTTTGAATTTTATTCTGGACCTGGAGCAGCAGTGACGTTGCTCCAGCAAAGCCACAGAGTCCAAAGTGAATCCCCTTCGGTGAGTGGCTCAATCCTGTTTCAACCCTCTCCAGGGTTTTCAGCTCCACCAGAGCACGGAAGGGGTTTTCCAGGGAGTCTGGAAAGGATAGATGGGATGCCCTAACCCACTGGTGACACTGCAGGAATGAGAGGAATGACCCCGACCCTCATTTCACCCCACTGCTGGCACTGTGTGTTTCCTTGGGTGTTTTGGAAGAGCCTGGCTACGGCTACTTACCTTTCTCTTAGCAACAAGGGAAAGTTAAGCCCTTCCTAAAGTTCACTGCTGTGGTGCTGGTACACACACTGGTGGGCCTGGGCTGGCAGCGTGATGGGTGAAGAGCTCCAGGGTAAAAACAATCCTTCCCCCATTCCTATTCCGAGACCTCTGGTTAACCTCATTTCCCTGCTGCAGCCGCCACGCTGGGGTGTGGTTGCTCTGCTAGACACCACCTGAGCAACCTGCTCCTGGCTCCTCATGAGGGTAGAGCTTATTCCTTATCCTGCAACAACATCCCAGATTAATCTTTATTTTCTTTACTGCTAAGCCCATCTTTTCACAACAGCATCTGCTGGGAGATCTCAGCCACCAGCCAGCATGGAAGGGAAAGTGTTTCAGTTTGAAGGGCATTAAGGACTTCTTGGGCTTCAAGGAGACCGCAGTTATCTTTGGCTTTTGTTACTCAGACTCTGTCCTTTTGTTCTCCCTGGTGTGGGGTTTTTTATCTCAAGTAACAGAACTGGTTTTGTGCTGGAGGAAGCAGCACCTGAGCGCTGTGAACGCCAGCGAGGGCTGGGGAGTGCTGAGGAACCTCCCCGAGTGGAGAGGACCTGAAATCCTAATGAAAAACAGACTTCAAAGAGTGAGTGTTGCTTTTCATCTCAGTCAAGTTCCCTTTCCTAGGATTGGGTTTCCTCAGCTTCCTGTTAATCTTCCAGCAGCTTAGAGTCAGGTTTTAATTTGTAGTAAGAGCAAGGTGGGGGGACAGAAAAAAGCTACAGCTTAGGAGCACCTATCCGGAGAAAAGTGATTCTCTTTTTGCCTGGTTCCTTAATTACTCGTAGCATTTCCTTTGGAGTCTCACCTTTTGACAGGTAACATCTCAGTATCAGGTTTTTGGGGGTAAACCAAATCCTTGCTGCTAAATCCCAGACTGCTGGAATGCTGCTAGTGGGAGGCACAGATTAGAAGTAGCTGTGATAAACCATTTGGGGGCTTGGTTTTAAAGGGCATTTGCTAAACTTGGCTTGGAGCAGCAATGCCTGTGGCCAGTTAAAGCCACCTAATGAGGGCATGGTGTCTGCTGGGCAAAAGGTGCAGAAGTCTCTTTAGCAATAACCTGTTTTGCCACAGCAATTAGTGTAAAACTTCACCACAAGGGGAGGATTTTCTTTGAGAGCAAAGTGACTTTTCATGTTACAAATTCGAAGGCCAGTGATTTCCAGAGGGGTCTAAGGCTTTTCCGGGAGGAAAGGGGTGTTTGGGGGTCTAGCCATGCTGGAAGGGGTTACATTCTTCTTCTTTGGGCCAATCCTGTGCATGGGCATCTCCCTCAGGCACTGGGGGTGCTGCCTCATGGATGGGGAAGGCAGTTCTTGGGGGGCTGGAGCTGCGTTTTCATCACTTCTGTGCCAGTTTCGTGATGAGAGCTTTCCACTCCGATCTCTTCTGCGTGATGTAGGACGGGGTGAGGAGCTGCAGCAAAGGCTCTGGCCAGCCTCTGAAGTATCCCTGACACAGAGCCTCCGTGTTGCAGATCACGTACATCCCACAGTCATAGCTGTTCTGCTGGGCAGGCGCCTTCTCCTCCACGAAGGTTGCTTTGCCCCGTTTTTTGCCCAAGAAGGCCTCCAGCTTCCCTGCCACTTGCTTGGCATGGACAGAGTTGCATTTACTGTGAGAATCGTAATGGGCAAAGCACTTTTTGTCCCTGAAATAAACCAGTAAGCTCCAGTGGGTGCCCCCAGCGACCTGGTTGGAGTTGTCATTGACAGGCAAGAACACCAGCTCCTTGTGGAGAAGGTCCAGCGGTTGAAGGAATATGGCTATTTCTTCCTGACTAAGGGCACATTTAATGAACTGAGCCACTTCGGGGCTGATAAAACAAACCTGATCTCTAAACTCTTGGAACTGGTGGTTGGCGAAGTACTCAAAGGCAAACCCGATGATGTGATCGTTGAGCCAGTTTGGGGGCTCCAGCAAGGCCACGTCCGACTGCCTCAGCAAACTGTCCATGTAACTGAGAACAACAGGGTCCATCCTGCATGCGTCCAGGCCACAGAACTCCAGGCAACCTCAGAAGCTGAAACGTAGAAAGGGAAGAGGAATTAAGGAATTGGGTCATGCCTGGGACAAGATACAGCTCAACAAACGTCTCTAGGTCCTTCTCAGGAAGTGGGGAGCAAAAGCCTGGGTTTCCCAGATGGGTACTTGAAAGACCAGTGTTTGAACCATCTGCCAATGGAGCAGACAGAGGATAACAGCTCCTCATCTGCAGCGTGTGATGGGTTGAGCCAGGCTCTTTGGCTGCTCTAGGAGCAGTGTGTGGCTCCAATTAGAGAAGTGTTTCGTGGTTATGATCTTAACCTCAAAGTGAAGTGATTTCAAAGCAGTTCCTGCTGGGGAACTACAGGCACGCCTTTGGTTCTGGGCTTAGAGCAGAAACCAGACGTGATTGAGAAGTCAGACGGTGTCTTGGTGTTTCAGTGCTTCACCTGCACAGCAGCAATCACTGTAACTCTTTGCATCACTGGTATTCCCAAATAAAAGCCTTTCAGGGCTGTCTGACAGGCAGATGGTCCCTTTCACCCAGCAGATAGTGCCACAGCTCGGTGCCAGACGCATGGCTTGTTCCAGGAAAACCTGCTGGCCTGCCAGCACAGGAGGCCGGGCAGTGAGGAGGAAGGAGAAACAAAGCAAAACAAAGCAGTTCCCTACTGTGGGAATCTTTAGGACAACCTTGCTGGTAGAGATTTCAATAACTCAAGTGCCACTGAAGCAGGCTGGGCTGCAAAACACCTATTGCTGTTTTAGCTTGGGTTTTAACTTGCTCAGATTTTGCTCACAGAAGGAGAAGGCACTTGTGGGTGTGCTTGGGGGTGAAGATCCCTGCAGCCTTCCACTGGTGATGTCCACCTGTGAGCAGAAGTGACTGCTTTTCCAGTCTTTTACTTTGTTACTTGTCCAGGCTACATTCTTCCTTCTTAATCTGTACCTGCTTCCCACAAGCAGAGGCTGCTTATCCTCAAAAAAGCACCTGGAAATCCAAATAGACTGTAGCACTCATGTGTTTGAGGACGTACTCAAGCGACTTCCAGACAAGACTTCTCCTGACCCTGACTTGTTTCCCTTTATCAGGTTATCTGAGTATCCACTAATTCGGGTCTTCCCAGCAGTCATGGAATCACAGAATGGTTAGGAAAGGACCTTAAGATCATCCTATCTTACATAATTCCTTTTCAGAAGCTGCTGCATTTGCTGCCTTCACATTGCAGGGGGATTAAAGCATGTTTCAGAGCACCAGGACATGCTGATCAACAGACAACACAAAACACTCTCCAGCACTGGACTAGGATTTAGATGGAGATCTTCTGATAAGAAACTGTTGATTTAAACACCCTACATCAGCCCTGGTTTTCTTCTCGCCTGGGCTCCTCAGCTGCTGTGCTGCACTATCAGTCCCTGATAACTTCTCTCCTTGCCAGGACAGGGCTAGAAATGCTGCAGCCGTGGACAGTGGTGACGTGACGTGGTCTGGCCTCATATCCTTTCCTCATCTGTGCCAAGAGCAGCATGAAAACATCTTTGGATTTCCTAAAGCACCATGTGAAAATGAGCAATGATAAGATAATCTAAATATGATTCCTATAAATAGGGGGAGATAAAAAAGATCAAGTTGTGTTGTTTATGTGTTAGGAAGAAGTAGACTTACACTGCCTCTTATTGCAGTGTGAATCATGAAAAACTATCATTCCTGGCCAGGTATGCATAAATTAATCCCTAAAACATCTTGGCAAGGTCACATCACATGCGATTTGTAAATACCTGAAGGTATGAAGCATGCTGCATGTGCAACACGTTGGAAGGAAGGGCTGAGGGAGAGTATGTGGGGTTTGAAAAAGCTAATAACTGTTTGTGTATGGCTGATGGATCCAGGAGATGCCAAGCAGCAAGAGTCATTGCAGAGGAAGGGGAGCAGTCACTGGTATTTGTACTGAGCCAAACACAATGGTATTTGGACGTGCTTCCTCCATTAATGAACTCATAAACTATTTCCAAGTTTGTGGAGCAAATCCTTTGCAACAGCCTGCAGCAGAAAAACAAACCAAAACCCAGACCAAGTCCCAGCAACTCCATAGCATGCCTAAAAATTGTCTTGTGTAAAGAGTGGGTTTAACAGGGTCACTTCTGGCACGTGCCCACATGAAGCCCCACGTTTTCCTTTACTGAGTGGGTTTTCTGCTTCATCTTCTAGGGCTGTGTGAAGCAGTAAACAGCTTTCCACTCCAGTCCAAGTGGGATTATAGGCTAGGGAAGGAAGCATGTGTCCTGCATTCTGTTCATTTTCCACTCTGCAGGAACATCATTTGGGTGATTCTTTTCGGTTGAGGGGAAAAAAAAAAGAAAGAAAAAGAGACATTTGGCAGCTTCCTATAGTCAGGAAGGGAGAATGGTTGCAGCAAATGCTTAATTGCCACTAACTACCACTTTTAATTTTATTGCCATCTGGTACTTGTGAAGCTGATTGTGAGCTGTGCAGGGTGACTCACCACATGCAGCACACAGCTCAAAGGAAAACCCTTTGCAAGCTTCGATGCCTTAAAGAGCCGCTTAAGGTAAACGGTGAGGACTGGGAAAGCACAGCAGAGCTGGGAAAAGCTGTTGGGGAGGCTCCTTCTTCTGGGAGAACCTCCCCATTAAAGCTGAAGATCAATCCACAGAGAAGCTGGGATGTGGATCTCGGACCTCTGATGTTACTTGCATAGTTGCAATTTGGACAAACTCTGTGTAACGCTCAGTACCTCTGAGGGATATTTACTGCCCGGTTTCGAGCACTAAGATGAGAACACCAGGGAGAGAAAAAGGAGCATTTCAATCAAAACATCATCAAGCCAACCGAGATAAAACTATTCAATTCATTTATGGATTTGAAGATGGTGCAACATGGCACTGTCATGGCAGGACATCAACTCTCTCTCATCTTGAGGCAGTAACAGTTTAACAAATGACCTGCCGCCATTGGTGCAAGTTCGCTCCACACACTGATGGGAGCACTTCATGTCCAGGACACGAGGCAATGCCTGTGTTTTGTAACCCTTCACAAAAATAACCCAAACCTGTTCTTTTCACAACATTAAAGCTGTCTTCTTTCTGCTTGTAATTGGTGCCTTGCACTCTGAAGGCAACAGTTGAGAGCCAGGGAGTGCAACTCCTTACTCACTGAGTGTGAATAGGCAGCGATGGAGCAGAGAGTATAAATTAAGGATGAATCAGATTCCTAGAGTCTATTTTAACAAATTAAAGGGGCTAAGAACAGCCAGAGGGAGCATTTGAAGGTACCACGTCACTAAATTCCTGTACCAAATTTAAAGAATATGAAGGTAAATGCAAGAAAACACCTGAAAGACAAATTATTCTTTACTAGGGAAGAGCAGGATGGACAGAAGTTTTCAGCAGCTTGGCTGAGCTCACTGTACAAACAAGAATAAAAGGCCCCATGTTTTAAGCACGAGACCTTTCCCTTTTTACTGGAAACAGAGATTTTAGACACCATGTCAGCACTTTTAATAATGGTTGTTGTTAATGGTAGCAGGATCAGACAGGGAACATCAGTTTCTACATACCACCATGAGCTGGGCTGGGCTACCTGCACCTGAGTCTCTGTATTCATCTGTCTCCTAACAAAGCCAGAGAAGAAACTTGAGCAAAACTAAACAACTCAGCCAGCGAAGCAGCACAGTTGTCTGCTCTTTCATTAAACATAAGCAATTTCTGTAGCCTAGAGATTAATTCCTGTATGATAAGAGAACAGAGCCTTGGCAGGTTCAGTACATCCTGAAGGCTGGACTCGAGGAACACAATCAAATTCCTGTATGCACAGACAACGCGCAAACCTTTCAATTCCCAACAAATCCCCCAAACCAGAGGTGTGCAGCTGCTCTGCACAGCCAAACTCCAGAGCCCTGCTTCGTTTCACAACATCTCACGGGGCAGTCAAGTAAAAGCCGGAGGAACTACACCAAATCAACTGTGATTTGCTCCCCAGGGTGTGGTTGGTGTTAAGTTTAAGAGATAAAAGAACCCCAGTGACTGGAATGTGTGAGGATGAGACTCTGCTGGAATAACGATCGGAGAGCCCTCAGCTCGCTCATCAACGTGACATTAAACCAGGCGCTGATGGATCATGTTCACCTTCTTGGAGAAAGAGTTTATCCAAGTGGGACATGCTGGGAGGGAAAACCCTTTGCCTGAAAGACCTAAAGATCGCAGGAATTCGGTCATGAGGAAGATTTTGGTCAGAGGAATGGCTTTGGGTCATCGCTGCTCACGGAGACGTGACTCAGGCGATGTGCTTGACCCTGAGTTTCTCCCAGCGGCTG